ACCAGCCTGACCACCATGGTAAAACCCTGTCTCTACTAAAAATACAAAAAATTAGCCCGGTGTGGAGGCGGGCACCTGTAATCCCAGCTCCACGGGAGGCTGAGGCAGGAGAATCGCTTGAACCTGGGAGGCAGAGGTTGCAGTAAGCTGAGATTGCTTCACTGCACTCCAGCCTGGGCAACAGAGCAAAACTCCATCTCCAAAAAAAAATCTCTTAAGTAGCCTTTCATCAACAGGGTGGACTGAACTGATGCTGTCAGTTCCCCCTCTCACTACAAACACATAAAGATGTAGATAAAATGACAATAAAAATGTTCTGACACACAGCTAAACTAGAAAAACGGGAGATATCCCAGATTCCATACAGAGTACAATCAAAGCTATAGATGTAAGAGAAATCTGATGCCAGGGAACCGAGGCCTACAAGGGACAAGGGTTAGGTCCTTTTGACAAACACATGAGAGTAAGAATAGGGTTGGAAGAAATGACCTTAACCTTATAGGCAGGTAAAAGCCCTGTACCCTGCATCAAGCCCCAGAGCCAGGTGCTCCTTTCCTTGATCACAGATGCTCAAAAAATCCTGGAGAAGCCACAAAGGTTTGCCATCTATCATGGCAACGTTGAGAGGTGGGCAAATTGCTCTCAAAACATTAAAAGCACAAGTCAGAAGAGCACATAAATGTAAGATCCATAATCAAACTACCTACATGCAAAAGGAAATGAAAACTCAAGATATTAACCTAAAACTTAGTTTAGAAACACTGAAACCCCAAGAAACAAATAGAAACAAGACTGAATAGCCTTGGGAGAAGCTTTCACAGCTCCAAATCCACAGCCTACTGCCAGTACACACCCGTAACTCTTCCCCCCAACTCTTAAGTAGACAAATTCATCATTTTATAAACTACAGACTTCATGTAAAAAGAAAGTATCAACAACTCAAAATAATAAGCAAATATCGCTGGGCGCGGTGGCTCATGTCTGTAATTTCAGCACTTTGGGAGGCCGAGGTGGGTGGATCACTAGGTCAGGAGTTGGAGACCAGCCTGACCAACATAGAGAAACCCCGTCTCTACTAAAAATACAAAAATTAGCCGGGTGTAATGGTGCGCACCTGTAACCCCAGTTACTCAGGAGGCTGAGGCAGGAGAATCGCTTAAACCGGGGAGGCAGAGGTTGCAGGGAGCTGAGATCGCGCCACTACACTCCAGCCTGGGCAACAGAGCAAGACTCAAGAAAGTAAAGAAAGAAAAGAAAAGAGAAGAGAAGAGAGAAGGAAGGAAGGAAAGAAAGAAAAAAATGTAAAATGATTCTTAATTACTTCTTTACTATTTCTTTCACGTGTATGAATCAAAAGTGAAAGCAGCATTTTCCAAAACAGCAATACTAAGTTATTACTTTTTTCATTTTATTTTTCTGCTCCATAGGAGGTTTCTGTAAGTTATGACTTCTATGAATTCTTGATTTACCTTTACTTTTACTGAGGAGACCCTGTTAAGTCAACCATGCATGTTAATTGATTTGTTTTTCTTTTGAGACGGAGTTTTCGATCTTGTTGCCCAGGTTGGAATGCAATGGCGTGATCTCGGCTCACAGAAACCTCTGCCTCCCCAGTTCAAGCAATCCTCCTGTCTCAACCTCCTGAATAGCTAGGATTACAGGCACGTGCCACCACGCCTGGGTATTTTTGTATTTTTAGTAGAAACGGTTTCTCCATGTTAGCCAGGCTGGTCTCAAACTCCCGACCTCAGGTGATCTGCCGGCCTCAGCCTGCCAAAGTGCTAGGATTTCAGGTGTGAACAACCGTGCCCAGCCCAATTGAGTTGTTTTTCTAAGCAGTGGTAATTCACATTCTCATCCCTTCTGTTATGACCAAGCGCATACAAAAAAATACCAGGATAAGACAGATTGCCAGGCCTGGTGCGGTCGCTCACACCTGTAATCCCAGCACTTTGGGAGGCCGAGGTGGGTGGATCACCTGAGGTCAGGAGTTGGAGACCAGCCTGGCCAACATGGCGAAACCCCATCTCTACTAAAAATACAAAAAATTAGCCAGTCGTGGTGGTGGGTGCCTGTAATCGCAGTTACTCGGGCTGAGGCAGGAGAATTGCTTGAACTTGGGAGGCGGAGGTTGTTGCAGTGTGCCGAGATCATGCCACTGTCCTCCAGCATGGGCAACAAGAGTGAAACTCCATTGCAAACAAAACAAAACAAAAAAACAAAACAGACAAATTGTCTATGTAACCTATACTGGTCCTCAGAGGATTTTTTTTTTTTTTTTTTTTTTTGAGACAGAGGGGCATTGTCTCCCGGGTTGGAGTGCAGTGGCGTGACCTAGGGCTCACCGCAACCTCCGCCTCCTGGGTTCAAGCGATTCTCCTGCCTCAATCACCCGAGCAGCTGGGATTACAGGCGCCCAACACCACATCCAGCTAATTTTTTGTATTTTTAGTAGAGACGGGGTTTCACCATGTTGGCCAGGATGGTCTTGAACTTCTGACCTCGTGATTCGCCTGCCTCAGCCTCCCAAAGTGCTGGGATTACAGGCTTGAGCCACCCTGCCTGGCCCCTTCAGAGGATTTTTAATAAACTGGCCCACACTTACTCTTTAGTTAAAAGCAAGAAATTGGCTGGGCGTCATGGCTCATGTCTGTAATCTCAGCACTTCAGGAGGCCAAGGAGGGCGGATAACCTGAGGTCGGGAGTTCAGTAACAGCCTGACTAACATGGAAAAACCCCATCTCTACTAAAAATACAAAATTATCTGGGTGTGCTGGCAAATGCTTGTAATCCCAGCTACTCGGGAGGCTGAGGCAGGAGAATCGCTTGAACATGGGAGGCAGAGGTTGCAGTGAGCCAAGATCGCGCATTGCACTCTAGCCTGGGCAACAAGAGTGAAACTCCACCTCAAAAAAAAAAAGCAAGAAATCTACCTTCCAAGGACATTAAAAAAAAAGCAGCTAATTATTTAAAATAACTTTTAAATCCTTTTAGAGACTTAAAATCCTTTTAAAGATTTAAAACCTAAACTTTACAAAGGTTTGATTCCCTCTGAGCAGCCTCCTTTGCATTCTTCTTAGCTACAGTACCTCTATTCTCTCATAGAACACTTTCAGTTTTTATTGGTTTCCACAATTTGATAGGAAGCAATGACCAGCAACTCTATGCACTCTCGTCTGCTGAACACATGCAGGAAAAATGATGGTTTATGTAAATTCATCTTACTTAGCTCCACATCCCATGCTGGAAGTTACTTTCGGATATTCCACACCTAAAGTTCAGGTAAACTTCCTTTGAGATTAAGCTCCTGGGCCGGACTCTGTGGTTTATGCATGTAATCCCGACACTTTGGAAGGCTGAGGTGGGATGATTCCCTGAGCCTAGGAGTTTGAGGTTAAAAGTTAGCTATGAAGACGCTACTGTACTCCAGCTTGGGTGACAGAGCAATACTTTATCTCTAATAATAAAAATTTTAAAATCTGAAAAATTAAGACTTCACCTGAGCTGATAAATGCAAAGTTGAAAACAACAACAAACCTTATAACTGAGCTGGAGCCACTACATGCACACATGAAAAGGAATAACAGTCATAAAATAACATACAAAATCTGGAAGCTAATTTAGTGTAAAGGAAGGGTCTGTTGTTTCTTATTATAATACATTTCCCACTAAAGGTGTCCAATAAATTCTATCACCTTAGGAGATGAGTTTTAAACTACGTGTGTAATGAGAAAATAGGTAATTTTTTAAAATCTCTTTTTTCTTTTGGGCTGCGGGGTGGCGAGAGAACAAAGAAATACTAAAAGTGAAATGCTACGCTGAATTGATCAGGCTAACTGGGAACTCACTGGAAAAGTGAAAACGAAAATGAATTAGTGATGAGCTCAAGAAGGTGCTTAGCCACTTACCCAGAGATTTATTTAATGAGAATGGATCGCAGGTTTCCACAGGTCGTTCCACTGACAGTAAGAAGACAGTCGTGAACCTTGGGTCCCTTTTTTCACTAGTCAACAGTCACCCTCACCTACACCCGGAGTACATATTTGGCACTCAACAAATCTTGACTGAATGAAACCCTACCTCACTCATACTGGCACCCAACCCCGGAGTTATGGCCCCCCAAATTACCTCCAAAACGCCTGACGACCTAACCCAAAGAGCAGAAAAAGTAGAGAGGAAACCTCTAGGGGTGGAGGGGATTCTCTGTCAAGCAGGGGCCAACGGGGCCTAGACCAACCCAACTTCCCATAGAACACTCAAGGGCCCAGGGGATTGAACCGTGGCTAATCTCCTTCGACTTCCACGAAGCAGCAGCCAAGGGGACGCAGATCCACAGCCTCCCACTCGGGGGCGCTGAGAGATCTCGGGGTATCCCCCCCAGAAGTTAGTACCTGCGAAGCTGCGGCACAAAGTGTGGCTCCGGGCTCTCATTACGGAGGCCGGGACCTGGGACCGGCCAGCCGCGTCTCCTGGCTGAGGGTTCCGCGCTCCGGAGCTGCAGTGACCGTACACGTCGCCGATAGACACCTAAGGCTTCGGAAGGGTCCTGGCTCGCAGGCCCCAGACGTTTTGCTCTTAGGACTCCGCGAGTTGTCGCACCCACGTCGACTGGCGCTCTTCAGTGCTTCCCTCACTGGTTAAGCGGTCACTCCTGCCTTAAGCCCAGCAGCCGGTCGCTCTCCGGCGCCGCCATCGTTAGTGTTTGTTTTCATCCGCTTCGGTAATGGCCGGGGGCGGGGGGGTGGAAGAGGGCTATGGGGGAAAGCCAGATGCCTAACCTTAGTCGCACTTTCGCTACAGTAATGATGCCCTATTTATTCTTGTAGTCCTCAAAATCTCCATGAAAGTTGATTTTCTTTCCACGTAAGCTTTGTTCTCTAATCTTTCTAAGCGACTCAAGGTAAAATAAAGACGGAAAGGAGGTGTTTGAGAGAGAGAGAGACCGTTTGGGTGATGTGTGGAATATGCGGGGACGAACCGCAGGTCGCGGTGGCAGCGGCAGTGAGGACGCGGCGTGGGGCGGGCCCTGACGCGGAAGGGGCGGTGCCGCTGTTGCGCGCCGTGGCGGCCTGTGTGCAGTAGCCGCTTCCGGAGGAGGGTCCAACCCGGCTAGGTGGGTGGGGAGTGTGGCTGTTAACCTGGCAGCCGCCGAGAGGTGGGTGACGGGCCTGGGCTAACTGAGTGTCCAGCGCAATCAGACTTTGACATCCGTTTTTAGGGTGCCCTTTAAAAGTGGCGGAGTCGTCTCCCAAACCTGGTTCGGCCAGCCTCTTTTTCGCTCCCGACTTCCAATGTGTCTGGTCTTCCCTACTTCCTGGCCCTCAGCTTCGCGATTTGGAGTTCTTGGAGTGAGGGAAAAGCCTTTTGTTACAGCACACAGTGTACGTCCATAAGGCTGGGTTGTGGACTTTGTTGTTGGTGGTTGTTTTTTGTTTTTTTGCCCCTTCTTTTCTTGTTAGACTGGTTTGAGCACCCCAGCATCTGTCCTGTACTTATCAGGTAGAACCAGAAGTTTTTGGATAATGAAACCCGTGACCAATTCTTACCCAAGGTGGTTATGACATACGTCAGCTGCTTCTTGGCCTATATAGTTAGGAGCTGACCTCTTTTACCTTGTGAATATGTCATCACCTCCATTATTCTTTTGGTGTTCTCAATTGAAATGCCAGGCATTAAATGAGCCACAAAGGTTAAATTCCCATTATCCTTCAATCAGAGCAAGCCTGTCGTGCAGCCATGAGTTAGTGGAGAAAAATCCAGAGTTGTAAGTACAGTACGTTTTGCCTCAACAAAATGGAAATTTGCAGAAAAGGAGCTGCTCCAGCCTTTGAGTCACTTTAAAGTCTTTGGTAGGTTTCTAATGTTTTTTCTTTTAACATTTACAGAGAGAAGATTATAAATGGCAGAGCCATTTAACTGTGGTTAGCTGTTGGATTCTGATACTTTCTTAAAAATACCTTCCTGCACCAACATCTTCATTGGAAACAGTTCAGAAAAAGCAGAGGAGAGAGACAACTTTCACATTTACCATGGCTATACCAATAACAGTGCTTGACTGTGACCTCTTGCTGTATGGCCGTGGTCACCGGACATTGGACCGTTTTAAGCTGGATGATGTGTCTGATGAATACTTGATGTCCATGTATGGGTTTCCGCGACAGTTCATTTATTACTTGGTGGAGCTCTTGGGGGCGAATCTTTCCAGGCCTACTCAGCGATCCAGGGCTATTAGCCCAGAGACACAGATCCTTGCAGCACTGGGTTTTTATACCTCAGGTTCCTTCCAGACTCGGATGGGAGATGCCATTGGAATCAGTCAGGCGTCTATGAGTCGTTGTGTTGCCAATGTCACCGAAGCACTTGTGGAAAGGGCCTCACAGTTCATTCGCTTCCCAGCTGATGAAGCCTCCATACAGGCTCTGAAGGATGAATTCTATGGGTTGGCAGGGATGCCAGGGGTGATGGGGGTAGTTGACTGTATCCATGTGGCCATCAAGGCACCAAATGCTGAAGACCTCTCCTATGTGAACCGAAAAGGCCTGCATTCTTTAAACTGCCTGATGGTGTGTGACATTAGAGGGGCACTAATGACCGTGGAGACAAACTGGCCAGGCAGCCTACAGGACTGTGCCGTGCTGCAGCAGTCTTCCCTCGGTAGTCAGTTTGAAGCCGGTATGCACAAAGATAGCTGGCTTCTGGGTAAGTTTGCAAGTGTGAATTTTCATTTTGTTTGGAGGCATAGAAAAGTTATGTAGGCCGGGGGCACACAGCCCCAGCACTTTGGGAGGCCGAGGTGGTGGATCACCTGAGGTCAAGAGTTGGAAAGCAGCCTGGCCAACATGATGAAACTTCGTCTCTACTAAAAATACAGAAATTGTCTGAGCATGGTGGCAGGCGCCTTTAGTCCTAGCTACTTGGAAGGCTGAGGCGGGACAATCACCTGAACCCAGGATGCAGAGGTTGCAGTGAGCCGAGATAGCGCCATTGCACCCCCGCCTGGGCAACAGAGCAAAAACTGCATCTCAAAAAAAGAAAAGAGCCGGGCGCGGTGGCTCAAGCCTGTAATCCCAGCACTTTGGGAGGCCAAGATGGGCGGATCACGAGGTCAGGAGATCGAGACCATCCTGGCTGACACGGTGTCTACTTTAAAAATACAAAAAACTAGCCGGGCGAGGTGGCGGGCGCCTGTAGTCCCAGCTACTCTGGAGGCTGAGGCAGGAGAATGGCGTGAACCCGGGAGGCAGAGATTGCAGTGAGCTGAGATCCGGCCACTGCACTCCAGCCTGGGTGACAGAGCGAGACTCCGTCTCAAAAAAAAAAAAAAAAGAAAAGAAAAGAAAAGTGGCTATGCGGGTAGCTCATGCCTGTAATCCCAGCACTTTGGGAGGCTGAGGTAGGCAGATCACCTGAGTTTGGGAGTTCAAGACCAGCCTGACCAACATGGAGAAACCCCGTCTATACTAAAAATACAAAATTAGCTGGGCGTGGTGGCGCATGCCTGCAATCCCAGCTACTCTGGAGGCTGAGGCAGGAGAATCGCTTGAACCCAGGAGGCAGAGGTTGCAGTGAGCCGAGATCGCGCCAGTGCACTCCAGCTTGGGCAACAAGAGCGAAACCCTGTCTCAAAAAAAAAAGAAAAAGAAAAATTATGCAGTGGAGTAGAATGAGATATGGGAGTCTGTAGAGGTGAATCTCAGTCCTGTCATTTTTTTATGAGACCTCAGATGAGAATTTTCTTAGCCTTAATTTTTTAAAAATCAACATTTAATAGACATTATTAAAACTTTAAAGCATACTATTAGAGCCAGTACAGTGGCACGTACTAGTACAACTGGTAATTGTAATTCCACCTACCGGGGAGGCTAAGGCAAGAGGATCACTTGAACCTGGACCTTGAGACCAGCCTGAGCAAGATAGCAAGATGCTGTCTCCAAAACAATTAAACATTTTTTTCTTATTTTATTTTGTGTAGAGGCAGAGTCTCACTATGTTGACCAGACTAGTCTTGAGCTCCTGGCCTCAAGCTATCCTCCCATTTTGGCCTCTCAAAGCTCTGGGAATGTGACTGTGAGCCACCACACCCAATGTAAAAAATATTATTATTATTATTTTTTTTTTGAGACAGAGTTTTGCTCTTGTTGCCCAGGCTGGAGTGCAATGACGCGATCTCCGCTCACCGCAATCTCCGCCTCCTAGGTTCAAGCAATTCTCCTGCCTTAGCCTCCTGAGTGGCTGGGATTACAGGCATGCACCACCATACCCAGCTAATTTTGTATTTTTAGTAGAGATGGGGTTTCACCATGTTGGTCAAGCTGGTCTCTAACTCCCACCTCAGGTAATCTGCCCATCTCAGCCTCCCAAAGTGCTGGGATTACAGGCGTAAGCCACTGTGCCCAGCCAAAAAAATATATATATAAACAAATGTATTTTATGTTATTTCACCCAGCTTTTCTACTCCTAAGAATTTATCTTACAGGTATAGATTTATACATGTGAAGTCGGGCGCGGTGGCTCAAGCCTGTAATCCCAGCACTTTGGGAGGCTGAGACGGGCGGATCACAAGGTCAGGAGATCGAGACCATCCTGGCTAACACGGTGAAACCCCGTCTCTACTAAAAAATACAAAAAGCTAGCCGGGAGAGGTGGTGGGCGCCTGTAGTCCCAGCTACTGGGGAGGCTGAGGCAGGAGAATGGCGTGAACCCGGGAGGTGGAGCTTGCAGTGAGCTGAGATCCGGCCACTGCACTCCAGCCTGGGTGACAGAGCGAGACTCCGTCTCAAAAAAAAAAAAAAAAAAAAAAAGATTTATACATGTGCAAAACAAAATTGCATACAAGAATTTTTATTGCAAACAATAGCTGCAGCAACAAAAACAACCTTATAAAAACAATCCTGTCTGGGTGCGGTGGCTCCTGCCCGTAATCTCAGCACTTTGGGAAGTCAAGGTGAGAGGGTCACTTGAATCCAGGAGGTCGAGATCAGCCTGGGCAACAAAGTGAGACAGTGTCTTTCAGAAAAGTAATAATAATATAAACAAGTAAACAAATAAATAAAACAATCCCCTGAAATAAAGCCAAAATACCGCTGGACGCGGTGGCTCACGCCTATAATCCCCGCACTGTGGGAGGCCATGGAGGGCGTATCACCTGAGGTCGGGCGTTCAAGACCAGCTTGGCCAACATAGTGAAACCCCTCCTCTACTAAAAATACAAAAATTACCAGGGCATGGTGGCACGCGTCTATAATCCTAGCTGCTCAGGAGGCTGAGGTAGGAGAATCGCTTGAACCTGGGAGGTGGAGGTTGCAGTGAGCCGAGATCATGCCACTGCACTCCAGCCTAGGCAACAGAGGGAGACTCCGTCTCAAAAAAAAAAAAAAGCCAACATACTTATCAGGATTGTCCAGAATTGTTTAAGTATTGTACATCCATACAATTGAGCCTTATCTGGCTCTGTTAATTGTCTGTAAAATGATTAATCTGATACCAACCACAGTAATATCTATTGTGAGGATTAGGTAATATATATGAAAGTTCCCTATAAAGTATTGTATAGATATACAAATGTGGCCGGGCATGGTGGCTCATGCCTGTAATCCCAGCACTTTGGGAGACCACGGCGGTGGATCACCTGAGGTCAAGAGTTGGAGTTCAAAACCAGCCTGGCCAACGTGTTCAAACCCCTTCTCTACTAAAAACACAAAATTTAGCCGGGCATGGTGGCGCATGCTTGTAGTCCCAGCTACTTGGGAGGCTGAGGCAGAATTGCTTGGGCCCAGGAGGCGGAGGTTGCAGTGAGCTGAGATCATGTCACTGCACTCCAGCCTGGGCGGTGGAGCAAGACTCCATCTCAAAAAAAAAAAAAAAAAGGCCAGGTGCAGTGGCTCATGTCTGTAATCCCAGCACTTTCGGAGGCCAAGGCAGGTGGATCACCTGATGTCAGGAGTTCAAGACCAGCCTGGCCAAAATGGTGTGAAACCCCTTCTCTACTAAAAATACAAAAAATTATCTGGGCGTGGTGGTGGGCGTCTATAATCTCAGCTACTTGGGAGGCTGAGGCAGGCGAATTGCTGGAACCCAGGAGGCAGAGGTTACAGTGAGTCGAGATCATACCATTGCACTCCAACCTGGGCAACAAGAATGAAACTCCATCTAAAAAAAAAAAAAAAGTAAGAAATTATTTTTGCGTTATTGATTGTCACTGTGATATCTGCATAAAAATGATAGTAGACAATGTATGTACACAATTCTTATGGTAGCAACTTACTTCACAGACCTGCCCAAGTTCCATTGGAAAGACTGGCTTACTGTTATGAGTAGGACAAGAATCTATTCAACAGTAAGCAGTGTGAACCAAGGTGACCGTACAGCTTTGAGGAGTGAAGTTAGTTAGCAGTGATAAAACCCTTGAACCCAGCAGCTTAGTTTTTTGTTTTTTGGGGTTTTTTTTAATGTGCTACTTTTATATGAGCATCAGGACAAGGATTATCTTGTATACAATATATGAGAGATGAAAGCTATGTGAAGGATTGGAAGACTTCTCCAACTTTTGTTTTTTTGAGATTGGGTCTTGTTATGTTGCCCAGGCTAGTCTCGAACTCCTGGCCTCAAGCAATCCTCTGGCCTCAGCCCAGGCTCGTAATACCAGTAGCTGGTATCACAGACATACACCACCACACCCAACTAATCATAACCTCTAATCATATCTACACTGCACAGGCTCATAGCACAGTGCTTACTATGAGTTGATGCTTAGGAAATATTTCTCTTTAACATATTTACTAGCACTTTATAGAGAAACCTCCCATGTTCCGAGTGGGCGAAGACGACACTGATGGGTGTAGAGCTGCCAGGGTACCACGTGTAATATCTTGGAGCTTAGTGAATTTCTTGATTGTTGCTTGTCCATACCATTTTTAGTGTGCCACCTTCTTGCTACGCTACTGGACCTTTATCTTAAACACACCTTTTGCCTATTTTGAGCTTTCAAATTTTATTTTCATACAACTCACATCAAGAAGTGTGGGAAAGTCTACCAATTTTGCAATTGTCTCATCTGGCCGTTTCTTCTATAGCTGTGGGACTACTTGGTTTCCAAGCTGATTTCTTACGAATCTCTTCACTTTGGTTCCCCCCCCATTTTTTTTTTTTTTTTTTTTTTTTTTGGTGACAGGGTCTCACTCTGTCACCCAGGCTGGAGTGCAGTGGTGTGATTATGACTCAGTGCAGCCTTGACCTCCTGGGCTCAATTTATCCTACCTCAGTCTACTGAGTAGCTGGGACTACAGATGCACACCACCATGCTAGGCTAATTTTTGTATTTTTGGTAAAGTTGGTGTTTTGTCATGCTGCCCAGGCTGGTCTCGACCCCTAGGCTCAAGCAGTTAGCCCACGTTGTACTCCCAAATTGCTGGAATTACAGGCATGAGCTACGGCACCCTGCCCAGTTCCCTAACTATTAAGCTAGCTAAAACTTAGCCCTTAGAATTTGACAGGCAATATTGTAAGCATTTTGCATCAATTATATCACTTAATGCTTATAAAAACTCTTTAAGAGTTAAATAATAATATTAACATTTTTACAAAAGAGACTGAGGGACGTAACATTTAAATCCCTTGTGTTTCAGTGTTTAAATGAGATCATAGTACGAATTACTCTATTTGGCAAATATTCCTTGTAAAGACTTCAAGATCATGTAGGA